TCATTCAAAGGACTTCATTTGAGGACTGAGTTTATTTGTGGCTCCTCGGACTGATGAAGTCCTTTGGATGAAGGATGAAACATCTCAGCAAACAAAAAAGAAACCATCCAGATGACCTGACTGAACTGTTTTGGATTATTTACTTGAATTACTGAGCATGAACTTTGATGTTTTGAACCATTTTACCTATGGCTGCCTCAGAGGAGTCAACGGGGGAGAGGGCAGGCCCCAGAAACCATCTTATCACCAGCAAACTGGTTGGTCCACTGTGGGAGTGTGCTGCTTGTAGTTTGTTTGTAGCTCTTCGGACTGATGAAGTCCTTTGGATCAAGGATGAAATGTCTCAACAAAACAAAAAAGAAACCATCCAGATGACCTGCTGAACTGTGTTGGATGATTAGAAGCACTTCTCTGAACATGCATTTCAAATTTTCTTTAGATTTAATATTTATTTGTTTTATTATTTTCAGTGTTAGATGCATTTAGGCACCCATACAAGTCAAAAAAGGCTTTTAAAAAATATGCAACTTGAGGATTGTGTTCCTTTTTGTGTCTCCCTCTTGTGGTCTCTGTGTGTCTCCCTCATGTAATCAGCTTCACCTCCACCACCTGCTGTCTCTCCCAGCTGTTTGTGTTTATCCCCTCCTTAACATCTGTATAATAAGTCTCTGTGTTCTTCCTTGTCTGGGTGTTGCATCCTGTTTGCGTCCTGTCCCTGTCTCCCTCCACGTCTCCCCTGAATTCATTGCTGCACGTCAGCTTTTGCGTTTCTTATTAAATATATATATTCAACGGTAAATCCCGTGTTCTTTGAGTCCTGCCTGCAGATGGGTGCTAGACACAGGAAACGTAACAAACACATTCTGCAACACACTCCTGACAGAGCTGCAGATATGGTGCAGGGAACGAATCGATGCTTGGTTTCATAAAAATATTGCATTTTGCTTCAGTTGTTCTTTTTGAGCCATCATGGTCGTCTGGCCTTTTCATTTAGTTAGCTTTCTGTCAACATCTGTATTTTTTTTTTTGTTTGTTTAGTTTCTCTTGCTTTCTGCTCTGTCCTCACGCCTGGTTCTAATTTGTTAATCATTACGCCTGCTTTGTTTATAATCCCAAAGTTTTGAAAAAAAATTCTTGATTGACTTACTGATTGTCACTTTTGTTTTTTTTTTCATGTAAGCCAATAAATAAATCAACTTTTGGCAGGTGTATTTTTTTTCAGTCTCTTTTAAATAATTGAACCTTAAGAATGCTGCCTGGTTTGGCCATTTGTTGCATCTTTTACTTGTCTTTACTTGGTATTGGTTAGTTGCTGCTTTCTGAATGTCGTCTTGTCCAAAACCCTGCATCTAACCAGTTCCTCCTTTTGGAGGAAGCTGAGCTTAGCTGAGCTAATAGGAGCACAAAATTTATCAAATATTCCTTGTGGTTGTTGAAAACAGCCTGAATTTAAACATTACAACCTCAAAAAGCAAACTTTTCCATTGACCTTTGCTAACACCTTTTTGTTGCAAATCACTCCTGAAACTTTTCTCCATCCACTCCATCCTGCCTGGACTCTCTTTTTTTTTTACCTCTTTACCACATTCCCCATTTTCCTGGACAGTGGACCCCAAGTACTTGAAGTCCTGCACCTTTATGACCTCTGCTCCTTGTAGCCTCACTGTTCCACCGGCCTCCCTCTCATTCACACACGTACTCTGTCTTACGACGACTGACTTTCATTCCTCTTTTTTCAAGTGAATACCTCCACCTCTCCAAATTCTCTTCCACCTGTTCCCTGTTCTCACCACAGACCACAATGTCATCTGCAAACATCAAAGTCATTCAATTTTAGCTCAACAGAAGTAAAAATGTCCACTGACGTCAACAAAACTAATTATTCACGTGTTTTCGTGTGTTCTGCTTCTACATTTGAAGTGGATGAAAGCAGAACTCGCTGAATATTTGTAAAGTATTCCTGGAGGGTAAGAATCTCAGACTGTTGAAGGTATTGTCCTGATCCAAGCCACTTCTGTTGTACGCTTCAGGCCTCACTCCCTGCTTTAAGGTGATGCTGTTTCTGATCTTGAACTCTTGGCGTGTGTTTGCCTTCAAATACGGCAGATAACAGACATCCTGAATCTGCAACTTGAAAAGCAGGAATGTATGAATTTTGAATTGAAGCAGATTAAACCGTGTTTTCTGGATGCAGGAAGAAAAAAAAATCCATTTCCTGCTGCGCCACTGGAAGTATTCAGGGTCAGAGGTGTCTGATGTAAATGACACGAGACACAATTTGTTCCCCCTTTTAAAGCATATTTATATTTTTAAGCTAAATCTCTATGATCATCAGGCTGGATTAAAACTTCCATATGCCACATGGTGATTAATCTCACATGGACCTGCAGCAAACAGTTTGTTACAGTTCATGTGTGTTGCTCGTGGATTAGGCCCTGAAATTATTTGGTTAGGATTAGGAAAGACTATGATTTGGGTTCAAAGTTGTTATTTTACACTAAAGTTGTGTTAAAGGACACAAGTTTCTTGTTTGCTAAAGTGATGTATCTTTTTGAAGAGGAACCAAAAATTGTAATTCTTGCTTCTTTTTTTTAATCACGTGTGCATTAATTATTATTATTTTAGTCTAAATAACTCAAATACACAGACCAGATACAAACTGACTTTTCTGAATGTGAACTTTTAGAAAAGAGAAAAAAACTGTACAAGAAACACAGACTTTTTTTGTGGTGGTGGAGGAGGGAGATTAACGAAAAGTTAGCATTTAAATTTAGGATTCTGTATTTTTGGGGATTTAGACTAAATTTGTCTTGTTTATGATAAAATAAAACAAAGTTCTTTGTGTTACTTAATTTTTTAGGGAATAAAAAAGCAAAAACTTCATCAAAAGTGAAATAAGCTTGAGTTTTAATTACCAATTTTGATGTAAAATAGCGAAAGCTAACACACAGTCTGCAGTGGTCAACATTTTAGCAGTATAATTTGTTTCTTGAGCATGTCCCGCTGCTCAGATTCTGCAGACTTGGGACAAAACTCAAAATATAAATGTCCTTAATCTATAGTGGAAAAATACAAAATAATAATAGTAATAACCCAAACTGCAAAAATCAAGTTACACAGAATAATTTTCTTGAGCATTAAACAGCTGTTATCATTTATGAGCATGTTGGAGTAGCTCTGTTACTTTCATTCTGAGTTATTGCTTTTGAAAACTTTAATTCCTCTTTATTCTGGATGTAAAACGCTTTTTTCAGATGATTATTTCCTCTGGTATCAGATGCTGTGCAGCTGGAAGGATTTTTACCAAAGCCTTTTCACTTTTGGGCATTTGTTATAATGTGTAACCATGGCAACATGGTGGGTTTTTGTTTTAACCAAGAACTGCTGATTAACATCTCAAAAGCGCAAATACTTCAACTAGCCCCAAAATCCCAAATGAGTTGAAAAGGGGGTGCCGTGGACGAATTCCCGTCAACCTGGTGGTGGTGCTTGAGTACCCGATCGCCGATATTCTGGAGCTGGTGAGAAACTCAGCTCGTGACAATGGGAGGACTGGGATCATCCCTAGCACCTTCAGCTGTCTGTCCGTGGTGATGAGGAGCTCTGCAGACTGCTGGGAGGAGTGACCGTCGCTTAGGGAGGAGTTCTGCCCGGCTTTCAGGCAGTCCTACTGCCCAGGAGGCCCGAGAGGCCCGCCGGATCTGATAGCAAACTGGATCCGGGTGGATGGATCGGTATCTGTGACCAGATTCTTCGGCTTCACTGCAGGAGATGCTTCCTGCCCATCAGCATCTCAACTTTTGAATGAAACCAGGATGATGAGCTATGACAACACTTAATTTCCCTTTGGGATTAATAAAGTATTTCTGAATTGAACTGAATCGAAATTTATTCAATTCAGTTTATTTATATAGCGCCAAATCACAACAAAGTTGTCTCAGGGCACTTTACAGGAACAGTCACACACATAAAAGCCAATTAGTAAAGTTCTCTATCTAAGGAATCATAATATTTACTCTCTCTAACACGATGACAACAATCGAACAGTGCAAATTTGTACATTTTCACAAATAAACTCAACGGCGCGCATGATGTCATAACGTTGTGCTGGCGCTTCAGGCATCCTTGTCATTGTGTCATAGTGTTGTCAAAAAAACAGTGCAATGTCCAATATTTAATTTTATTGCTAATATCGGCCGATACCGACACCATGCCGATAATATCGTGCAGCCTTAGTATTAACTCGTGCTTCCTCAAGAGTCGTGGTTTTGACCAGAAAAGTCCTTATTTCACTTTGGCTGCACGCTATCCTGGATTCATTCTGTATGTTCCTCCCAACAGTTTGTCTCATGTGATTCCATCGGGACGGAGAAGAGATTATGAAGTAATCTTCAGCAGCACAAATTTAATTTCTAGGAATATAAATACCGGAAGCAAGGGGAAGAATAGTTCAGTATATTACATTCTGATTAGAAACACTTGAAGATAAATTCACAGGTCGTTTTGTTTTAAATTCAGCTTCATTTTACAGACAGCTCGCTGTTTGTTTGTGCTGTGTAGGAAACGGAGTAAATAAACGGATGAGTTCCTCATCAGTTCATCATTTCTGAGCAGGGACAGTTGATCAGCAGTTCCTCATTAACTGCATTTGCTGCCTACAGAAATCATCGTTTCAAACAAGCAACTTCATCAGTATTTCCTGACGAGACATAAACAAACATTAAATCCATTTTTTACTTATTTACGCACAACAAAAACATTTTAAAATAGAGATTTAATACATCCCCCCCATTTAGACAGGCATCATCATCATTGCTTCACTTCTTAGTAACCATGGAGACGCACGTGTTTCTTATTGCAAAGTGTTGCAGAAATGCTTGGTTTGTTTTGTGGAGATGACCCGGATCTTTCCACCTGAGTGAAATCTGCTCTGTTAACCAATCGCGCACATGCACGCGCGCCCAGAGACTTTCAGCTGTTCCTGACCCCCGGATCCTTACCTTGCACGCTGCATCCTGTCAGAAGAGGCTCCCGCTCGTCAGGACTTTTCCGTTTCTTCGACATTTGCTCCCTGTTCTGGTGTCGGACGGATCCACCGCCGAACCCACAGATCTGCTGAGGACGACTTCTTCAGCCGGCGGGATATAAAACACATTCAACAGTCCGGGGGAGGCGAGAGGAGAAGTGGGAATACACCTCAGTCGCATTCATTCAGATCTCGTATCTGCGCTCTTTGCAGCGCGCGCAAAGTTACCGCGCGGCGGTGCGGAGGCGCACGGAGCGCGACCAGCTCCTGGATCCCGCAGGATCCACAACAGATGAGGCTCCAGATCCGGTTTGTTATCCTTCTTGCCAGGTGGGAAAGTCACGTGCTTGAACTCGATCTGATGGAAATTACGCGCCGAGTTGATCCAAGTTGATCTAAAAGACACAAATAGTCATTTCCGTCACGAAGGTGGCATTTAAAACAAATCACCTCTTTTAAAATCACACTGCCTTTTTTTTTTTTTTTTCTTACTTGAATGCAGCGACGTCAGACTCCGAGTCTAATCAGGAATGACGCACAGCCGGAACTCTGGACCGACTCCGTCCACTTGAGGAAACGCGCTCTGGCAACCTTTGAGCTCCGCGCAAAGTTGCAGCTCCCCCAGCACTACTTCTTATAGCAAGATGCCTCCCCCGGTGTGAAACCGGAGTCAGTCCGCGCTGAAAGTGGAGCGCGCGCGTCTCTCCTCGGTTTGTGCGCGACGCTTCCTGCACCGACAGTTTAGAGCCGAGCCGAGCCGAGCAGGACAAACAGGCATTGTGTGGTGAGTCCTGGACGAACAGGTTTGCGCAGCAGCCGCAACTTTACTGGGGGGGATAAGCTTTCAATACATGCGCGAGCGGTGTCTCGTGCGTACTACAAAGGAGGGAATGACGCCATCAGTTCGGCTCTTTTACAAACTGCACCACAGATGGAGAAGAAGCTGCGCAGACTTGCTGAGTTTTGCACATTTTATCCTGACACGAGCGACACATGACCTCAACTGAGCGCCTCTCTTCATATGTTGGTTAATTTATGAGCCCCCCCCCAGGCTCAGAATTTTTTTTTCCTATTTATGGTTTCGACGCATTTTCGCATGCTTGAATCTTAAATATTTTTAATTTTTACAAACAGCTGAAGAGCCCAGCTCCACTGCAACAAAATGCAGCTGCAGTCGTGTTTCTGACGCTGGTGTGTCTCCCCCCCCCCCCCCCCCCCCCCCACACACACACACTCCACTCCCAACTCCCCCCCTCCCTCTTCCTCTGCAGCCGCTGACGTCAAGCCATGCTTGCGTCAATGCTCCCTGCTTTGACTGAGCTTTTTTTTTTTCATTGGGATCATAATGGGATTATTAGGCTTAGAGAAATACCCTGCCTTACTGGCTTTAATAGATTCTGTTTGATAAATGCTCCCATTTCATTTCTTGCTTTGAAAGAAGAAGAAAAAGACACGAGGCATAAAATTGGCTCTTACATCAAGGAGAGGGTCTTTTCTCCCCCAGTTTCATGATGATGATGATATTTCCTTTTCCATATTCACGACAAACTACCTCCTAATATTATTCTTTAAAATGAACAACGTCAGGTTTTAATCTGAAACGTGCTGATTTAATTCACTGGACTGACTGAGATCCTGGACATGGAGACACACCGAGGAGTCGTGTTTAGTTTTGCAGATGGGATGAAGGTTCTGTTCGGCTCGCACGTGTGGGAGGATGGAGTGATGTCCTTCTGCGCTGACCTTGATCCCCGGCGCTGAACGGACTCTTGTGCCTCTTGGCCTTCATGCACTTCAAACATAAAGCTCCCGTTTCACACTTGCTGCATTCGTGCCACAGTTTCTTTAACATTCACACTTTTAGACATCAGTAACACAATATATGTTACGAAAGGGGACAGAATAGAACTTAAAGCATTTCTTGAAGCAATGCATAGTTTACGATCACAACCACAATGTTCCGTGTTGATGACTCAGCTACTACCACACCAAATTTTAGCTCAGTATCTGCAAAGCTGACTTGAGTTACAGCTATTTTTGTTTGGCTAATGTTGATCAGCTGTGGCGGCCATCTTTAAAAATGGATTACTCCAAAATGTAGACAGTTGTAGATCCAGTTAATAATTTCTGATATTTTCATTCAAATCAGTCCAGTTTCATGAGATATTTTGCTAACAGACAAATTGGATTGACACCAACTATTAAAACAATAATTTTAGGTAAAGATCTTATGAGTTCAGAGTATGAGTCAGGGATGACTACTCGTACCACTAAATTTTAGCTCAGTGTGTATAGCTATTTTTATGCTCCCTAATGTTGGCTGTGGCACCATGCTAACGTGGGTTGCCTCAAAGTTTATCAGTTGTAAATGTTTATTCAATGATTACTTCCTGAATGTCATCAAAATCTGTCCACCGTTTCATGATATTTTGCTAACATCTCTGCTGACACGTATGAGCCAAAACGTTATCTTTTTTCCTTTGTCACCGAGTGAAGATAAAACGCTCAAAGATTTATTTGAACAAAAGCCCCTTCTAAACCAGAGGATGCACCCCCAGATGAATGGACTCCTGGGGAAGTCCCAGGTTTACGAGGCTGACCTTTGACCCCGAGCTAATGTTTATGAACTAGCTGCAGGGCCTGTGAGTCATTTTAGCTGCAGGGTGACATCTTCAGAGCACTTCTGCTGAAATACTGTTGTAGTTCAACAAAACCACACGACAAACCATCAACTTGTGGGAAAAAAAGTCAAAGATACAGAAACAATGGTTAAAAATAGCACAAAAAAGTTGAGGAAAAGGTTTTTTTAATTATGAAAGTTACAAAAAAAACAAAAGCCACATCTTCATCAAAACATCATCTGCACAATGAGCGTAAAAAAAGAAACAAAATGAAAAGAATAAAACGTATGAGAGGCAGAGCTGCTGCATCCCTCGTGTTTTTGAGGTAACAAGGTTTGCAGATCAGACGAGCCGCTTTAATGAATCCACATTAAATTCAGTTCATCTTAAAACACTAAAAGCAAACTTGTAACAACTCAATAAAACAATCAGCATAAAGGCCAAGAGGATGACCTGCCGTCAGTAAAACGTCAACGGAGCAGGATATGAAGGGCAATAATGGGAGGCTATAAAAACGGTTATTTAGAGTCAAACGTCGTCTGCACTGCAGAAGATTAGTCAAATATCTCGATTAGCACAAAACACTTTTTACATTCGGTACGCTTCTTTGGCTTTAACATTTACATCATATCCAGCTTTAAAATCTCCTTTACATGGACACTTATTTGATCAGTTGCTTAATATAAGCACATTAAAGGTTTCTCATCATCACCCAAACGTCTTAGAATGGAAACATCCAGGATTAAATTAAAAAAAGAGGTTTTAATCAATGAATCATTTGGATCCTGCTGCCTCCCGTCGGATCAGATGTCCTGCTCCTAAGATGTCCGTCTCAGCTTCCAGAGACCCGTCCATCAAAGGGACGGGGGTGTAACAGGAGTCCAGGCCGAAGGCAGCCGGCCGTCATACTGAGCCGCAGCATCCTGCGCCTCCGTGGCCGAGCTGCCACCGTACATGGGAGATCCAGAGGGGGGCGCCGCCACGGAGTGGGTCAGGCCGGGATAGTGACCCGAGGAGCCTCGGAAGAACTGGGAGCCCAGGCAGCTGTTGACCCCCCCACCTTGAGACACCGGGGTGAGGGCCGGGTTACTCACAGACCACAGGCTGGTGTACTGACTGCACAGAGACACACAAAACTCATCTGTCGGGAGTTCAAGGAACAACAAATTCAAATATATAAAGTGGATTTATTTCTTTGATTCATCCGACTTATTACTAAACGCAGAGAGTGGATCAGATGTTTGGGAATTAAGAGTTAATCCCTTCAAACTTTAAATGTTCTGGAGACAAAAAGCCACATTTTAACGACATTTTGTCACAATGGCTTAAAAAGAAGCAGAAACTCAAACTTTTCTTCCTCAAAAATATTCAAACATTTAAAGACATTTGATTTATTGTGTTATATCTATGTAACTGCTCTTTAGTGAATCTTTTAGCTTTAATCCTAAATGTTTAATATTCCATACTAAAACGTGGCAATAAAATCTTATTGTCAAGTAAATTTAACTTTTTTAAAGCATTTTTAGTAATATTAAGATAAAGAGTGATGCACCAACAGTTCACTCCATTCACAGTGTTTATTAATAATAATTAATTATTAATTATTGGTTCAGAACATGTTGCTGGTTTTGTCAGTTTGAGCATCTGTTGATCCGTTAGATTGTTTCTGTTTAACATCAAATCGTGTGAATGTTTCTGGTTCTGTGTTTTTCAGAACTTGTTCTATGGAACGGTGGCACAGAGGTTAGAAAAGGTGTATGTGATTAGAAGGTCGCTGGTTCTACTCCCCGTACAGACAACATTAAAATGTGGGTGGGAAAGTTGAAAAACCCACACCTGCCTCCACCCTCATTTGCCCCACTCTGGGCCCTTGAGCAAGGCCCTCAAACCCCACCATCTGCTCCCCGGGCGCCCTGTGGCAGCTCTCTGCTCCACACAGAGGCTGTGGTAGCTCGGTGGTCTGTGGTTGCGTCAGGAAGGACGTCCAGTGTAAAAAAGAAAATTGGTCAAGTCTTTGTGCGACTTAGTTCACTGTGTCGACTCCCTGAAGAAGGGAGCAGCCGAAAGAAAAAGTTCAGCACTTTTTCTGCTGTTTCAATAGTTCATACATCAAAACGCTCAGCTCGTTCCTGCTTGGACTTTTGATATCATCATCATCATCACTTTTATTTATTATGGTATGGTATATGATATTTGTGTAATTTGTACTTTTTGAAACATTGAGCTTTTTTTGGCCACGTTTGTCTCATTGTAAATGAACGGAACTCTCTGCACATCCTTTAAACTCTTTGTGCTGTTTAAACCTTTTATTTAAGCTTTTATTTTGCTTCTTTGCACTAATTTGAGATTTTTTTTAGCTTCTTTAAAGGCTTTTAATGCATTTCAGCTACTTTTTAGGTTTATTTTTCTGCTATTTTAAACTTTATTCAGAAAAGATTTCCCCCTAATTTTGACCTTTTGTGATTCTTTCAAATCATTTCATCTTTTTTAGGCTCCTCTCAGCCTCTTTTTGCTAATTTCAAATTATTTTTGTAATCTATTCATCCTCCCTCTGCCTGTTTTGGCTTATTCTGCTCACTTCTGCTGCTGTCCTGCTGCTTTCATCTTTTATTTTCTTGCTTTCTGCAAATGTCAGCTGTTCAAACTCAACTCACATTAACAGTTTAGCAATGAAACCTTTTCAGCTAGGTTTCAGCTTCTTCCAACCAATCAACCGTTTCTCTAGATGACAATAAAATTGTCATTAACAATTAAATAAAACTGCGACAAAGGTATTTCAACATTAACGTTCTCCCAGGAGTTTCTTCTCTTATTTTGTCACTTTGTCCTTCTCAAATGTCTCGACTCTCTTCCTGTGAGTCTGAAAGCTGATCAAGAGTCAAACCTGGAGTTGGCAGCAGAGCTGTGAGAGTTGTGGCCAGCGGGCATCATGCTGGAGTGTGTCGGCACCTGAAGACCGGACCAGTTCTCGTGGCTGGTGAGCATCGACAGACAAGTTGAGGAGTTGTCGGAGTAACCAGCTGCAACCCGAACAGAATATCAGATAATCCTAGAGATTAAATCGTTTTCTTTTCAAAGATTCAACAGCCGATAGACGGTTAGAGCTAAATCTTGGACGATCCTCATCTGAAGCCCAAGTTTTTTACTGCTCTGTGGCTCCACTCACACAAAAGCAGCAGGAATGTAAAACATTTCCCGCTCAGCAACATTTGTTTAAGTTTCTTGTTAACAGGCAGGAGGGGGAGGGAGTGGAGTAAGTCTGAGATGGAAGAGAACACTTACTGGGCGAGTTGGTCCGATGGCTGTAAGGGCTGCTGTACGGGGTTGAGCGGTGGCTCCTCAGAGAAGTGTAGCGCTCACAGCTGTGGGTCGGCGAGAGGGAGATGGGACTCCCAAACTGGCTGTGAGAGCTGGCAGGGGGGCAGAGGGGTCCGGTTCCTGGGATGAACCAGCTGCCCACTGGCTCCAAAGAGGACAGGAGACAACATGAGACAAGCACATGGCAGTCTGAGAGCACGCTGCACAAATTCAAATTTAAACTCACACTGAGAGTAACCAGACTGGTGATTTTCACTGGCATCTTCCCGCATGTCTTTGTTATCATTCCTACAAAATAAAACCAGTTTAAATCCAACTGGACACTTTATTTTTACATAAATATTTTTTTAATGAATGCTTACCTCTCCTTAGCATCTAAAAAGGCCTTGGCAAATGGGTTGTACTTTATTTTCAGAGCCGTAATCTGAAACAATGATAAAGAAAATAAGATGCGTCTGTGCGTAAATTATGCGCGTATTTTACGCACGCAGAGAAGACTTTGTTCCAGTTCTTTTCCATCACGTTAGTGACATTAAATGCTGTTTTTATTATCTGAAAACGCAGAATCGGATGTGAGCAAGCTGCATCACTGACCTCTTCATTTTGGTAAGCTGTAACTGCAATAAACTGCGTCTCCGGAAACGAGTGGCTAGTGATCATCCTCCGCGGGCCTCCAACCCGCACGATATGGATGCGGGGCTCGTATTTGTGCAACGAATTTAACATAATCTTTAGAAAATGGAGAGAAAAAAAATAAAAAAACAGTTAGTTGTGTTGGGAGTTGTGTGTCACTGTGGAAGCCCGGCCTCCATCTTTTACCTGACCTCCGCCGTTGAGTTTGTTCGTCAGCTTGACTTTACTGAAGGAGACCGGAGCCTTCATCCAGTGGGCCCCGAAGTTCGGGGAGTCCGGGTGGATGTACACGCAGCTGGGGGTCTGGGGTTCAGGTTTGCCTCCGGGCACCCACTCCCCGTTCACATACTTCCACCTGTGGTTGTCCGCCGACAAAAAGTCCAGCAGAAACGAGTACATGGCGTTCGGGTCCAGTCCGGACACGTTTACTTTCAGAACCGGAAACATGCGCCTTTACAAGGAAAACACACTTAAAAACAAATCCAAATAACTCCACAACCTCAGCACCTGACTTGACATGTTCCACAGTTTGCTCACCTGCCGTTTTTTGTAACGATCATCTCGTTTATGAGCTCCTTGAATTTCTGCCACAGCTCGCGCTCATCCAGGGACACCTTGAGCTCGCGCTCCGTGGGGTCGCCCTTCTCGCTGCCCGCCTGCAGCTCGCTCTGCACGGCGCTGAGGAGGTGGTCCACCCGGTACTGCGCCGCCTTGCTGGGACTCTCAGCAGCGTCTGTCGCCATGGCGTCAAACGGCTCCAGATGTTCTTCACAAAGTTGAGCCTCCTGCAGCTCCTGGTGACTCTTTATTCCTCTGTTTTGCCCCCCACCTGGAACCAGCGGCTCCAGAATATATATGAGGCTCCATCAGAGGAGCGGAGGCGGTTCGCTCGCCTCCTCTTTGATCTGTGCGGGCTTGGCTCTGATTGGCTGCGCGCGGCCATATTGCGCTGAGGCCCACAGGATGGCAGCGATTTGAATAAAGCAGTTTCAGCTTCTTTATTACATCAACCTGTAAATATTGACACTTAGATCAAAGCCACCGGCAGAGAACCAGGACCACTGACCCGGGAGGGTCTGGATCACAGGATCAGACTCATTGTCTCAGTTGATCAGAAATAGATTTAAATTTAAATGTGATGTATATGTAACGAAAGTGAAAAAACAGAACATCTGTTTTATTTCTGTCATTCTGTGAACACGTTTTGGAAAATCCTTCACGGTTTTCTGACCATAAAATCCATGAAGACTCCTTCTCCCCTCAGAATATCTTATATGGATACGTATCTGAAAAATAAAAAAGATGAACACTTTGTCACATTATCATAATCTTAAAGTTCTATATACATAAATGCAGATATGGCAACTCTACACCTTTATGGTCTGTATTCATACAAGAACTCCAGATGTTAAAACTTTCATTAGACTGTGCTAAAAAAACACAAGTTGAAAAACTCTCCGGTCACCTGCTCAGATAATACAGCCCTCTTACAAATTATTTTAGTAATTATGTAGAATATTAGAAAAATAGTTCTGTGTGTTTGTTTTTATTTGCATTAGTTTATTTGCAAATTATCTGATAATAATGTTACCTAAATTAAAATTTATGATGGTTAACATGTTAACTTGTTGTGGACCTTAGGTATGACATAAGATATTTTTGCATGCTTATATGTATCATTGTAATTTGAGATTGTCATTTGTTCTTTTGTTCTTGTGTTCCTTTGTTTGTTCAATAGTTCAGTAAAATAAAAAAAAAAGATAATTGTCTCCATTTTTTTTTTTTTACAAAATGTTGCCCAGGTTTGATTAAACATTAAATGTTCAGCATTTTGGAGGATTTAAGATTTATTGAAGGAAATGTGAGGCGTTTGGTTTGGTCCATTTACTCCTGGGTTCTGCTCACTCTTTGTCAGGTCTTGATTTATTATGTCTTGTTTTAACTTTTAGGTGCCCCCCCCCCCCCCCTCCACCCACCACCACACACGCACCAACCAAATGAAATATATTCCATTTAACATATTAATGCCACAGGTTGCAGAGTTAAGGGCTGTGGTATCTGCAGCAGAAAGAAAAACATTTTCAACAAAAATGTTCAAGCATCAAACAAAGCATGCGTTTGTTTCTCAGTCAATAATCAAAAACATGTCTTAAATATAAAAATTAAATATGTGTAGGATGCATGCTGCTTTTTCCAGGCTGTGGTAGCTCGGTGGTCTGTGCCATGGTCTTGCAATCCTAAGGTTGCAGGTTTGAAACCAGGTTGCATCAGGAAGGGCAACCGGTGTAAAACAATTGCCAAAATATTTCATGTGAGTTTGATCGCTATGGCAACCCCTGAAGAAAGACGTAGCCAAAAGACTCTTACTTACCAAACATATGCAGCATTATTGAAAACTATGTTTGTTTTTCCAAATATTTGGACATGCATGTCCACTGGTGTCCCTGGGGGGTGCTTCAACTCCATAACCCCTGCTTCTCCACTGCCTTTTAACTTCGTTCACTCGTTTACTGCAAACTTTACCTCTGTAATGCCATATCAAAGAATCAAGACACTTTGAAAGGAACCGGACACATTTGGTGTTCAAGTCCCAAAATGAGGAAACCTGATCAAAACAATCGGAAGACGATTTTAACAAAGAAAAAGAGACGAAGTTATGATCGTGAGACGGCTGGGAAACTTCAGTGACATTAAAGATAAGAACATTTATTCAAATAACCTAAAAATTTTCTCTAAACAGAGTTTTCTTTAAGCTTTTTATGACCCATGTCAAAATAAAAGGACACATCTGTGTGTCAATGATTTTATGAAGGGTTCACAACTAAAAATTACTTTAGCCTCGATGCACCTGACGTTTGTCACTTTTTATAGATGTGGAAATGGTTTTTGGTTATTTGGGACAATTCGTGGATGTTTTGGAGAGCAGAGATGTGGCTGCTCGGCTTGCGTTTTAATTAAAAGTTTTTAAAAACAAATCTGTCACTGTCGACAATAAAACCCATGAGATGATTTACATCATGTAGCACAGTCATATCAGTCTCATAAATAACTAACGATGCTGTTGCCATGGCTTCCAAACCCCACAAAACAAAAACAGATGTTTAAAGCAGGAATTTATGTGACAGATAGGTGTTAGCTTCCGTGGAGCTCTGCGGTGTTGTGTTGTGGCTGGTTTGTGTTACTAACCGAGTCCTGGACGCCTCGTTCCTTCTGCCAACCTTGAATCCGTCTCTCTGTCCAGCAGTCTGGGCCTGAGTTCACAGCAAGCAGAGAAAAACAAACCCCCGCTCAGTTGAAGGAGCAATCGAAAAGTTGGGGCCGAATTTGACTAAATCAAAGAACCTTGTGCAGAAAATGACCATTTAATTATATTTTTTCCCCCAAATCAGGGATCTTCTCCCTAAAGCTCCTCATAAAACTAATATCTATGATTGCAAATAGATGCTTTCACCTGTTGGTCACAAATTACAATTCTTTTTTTTATTATTTCCTAATCCATTTATGACTTTGCATCTGGAAAAGGAGACCTTCTTTGTATGCGAGGAGAAGAACCCAGGTGTAAAAATCAGCAGCATAACCCGTGTCAATTCCCACAGTGCAGGTGTCCCACTTGGCACCTGTGTCCTCTTGTTCCGCACCCCACCAGGTGCTAACTGTCACTCCGGGCCACTTCCTGGTGCCGGTTGGCTGCAGCACCGCGAATCAACGTTCTTAATCCAAGTGATGGTATTTCAGACCAGTTTCCAATAAGCATTTCAGTGATCAAACCTAAAAGAAAAAGCTCACACATGCGCATTGTTAAAGTTTGAAGCACTTTCTGTTTTACACAGTACTTTTTTCATGATTTTGCAGTTTCCCCATTCCAGTATTTTGTTACAAACTCTATATCTAATGTTAAAACATGCACAAAATGTAAGATTTTTTTTTTTTTACAAATTTGAGCTCGGTTGACAAAATCTATTTGAAAAAAGGGCTAAGTGGTGTTTATTTATTTATTTATTTATTTATTTATTAATCATTTGCCAGGTTGTTGTTTTTTTTACCATACCATACCATTTTATTTATAGAGCACTTAAAACAGCGACAAGGCCAACCAAAGTGCTGTACAGACAGAACAACAGGTAACACACAAAGCAAAATACAAAATGAGGTAAATCAGAATATAGACATACAAAACAATGCAGATAATGACGACAAACCAGTGTGGAGCATACAGGATCAAAACACAGATCATCTTGTGTTGAAAGCTACTGAATAGTAGTGAGTTTTTAAACGGGACTTGAAAACAGAGAGGGAGGGGGCCAGTCTGACAAGCAGAGGTAACTCGTTCCAGAGTCTTGGTCCTGCTACAGAGAAGGCCCTGTCACCTCTGCGCTTAAGACGAGTTCCTGGAACTGTGAGGAGCAACTGGTCTGCTGACCTCAGGGAACGTGATGGGACATACGGTTGTAGCAGATCAGAGAGATGG